TGCTTGCTAGATCCGTGGAATCTATTTTCAGTCTGTACTGTATGCTGATTAGTAGTGTCAAAGCCATTAAAAGAAAACATTTTCTCCATGTCTTCAAACATGTCATCAAACAGTCTACCTCCAAAAGAAAACTCCTGGAAATGCCTCTGTCTACTGGAACCATCCTGACGGGTATGGAAGTGATTTTCAAAATGCTTCTTGGATCGAGTGTTTTGGTTTTGACCAAAAAACCCAAAGTCTTTAAATAAGTCATCAAAATTGAAGTTAAATGACTGCTCGAAAGGACTTCCACTACTTCTCGGTCCTTTACCATCACTAAAAGCACTGTGTCCAAGTGTATCATACTCTTTCCGTCTATTAGCATCGGAGAGGGTTTCATATGCTGAAAGAGAGAAAATGATTTTAGTAACTCAAAGCATTCAAAATTAATACACTCACACCACTTAAATTAGTCCAATGTCATGTCCTAGGGAAGGATTTGACAAGTGAAACAAAAACTATATAAATGTAGCAATAAAGTGAAAATCAAAGGTACTAAAATAACATTCACTTGTTGTCTTCTACACTGTTTACTATATTATCATCAGTTGTTAACACAATTCCTACCTCTGGTAAATATTCAGTAAATACTTGTTAACTGAATATTACCATTATCACAAAGAAACATGTTGGCAACAATTTCAGAGTTTTAAAATTTTTAATTAAAGTTATTTGTATACAACTATTACTACTATTAAATAGTTAAATTGTCAAACATAACCAATACAGAAAGGCTAGAGTTTCCAGTTTCTTGTTTAAGTAAAGGTTTACTTCTAACTCTACTCAGATCCTGTCAGCCACTGTCAGCATGTTTCAGACAGTCTTAAGTCAAAATTTATTTCACATTTTTCCTTTAAAGACAAATATGGTTATGTAATGTGTGTGTGTAGGGGGGGGAAGAATCCAGATATCAGTCTTTTCCCCCCATCTCATTACTCAGTAAATACTGCTTCAGAAGTTAGTTAACAGTAAGTTTTCCGTTGTTAAAATTCTTTTTCACAAAGAAAAAGCAATTCTATAAACATCAAAATCGGAAATAACACATTTCTAGTATTTTGTATTCTAATAAAATTACCCATCATTCTTCTAATAAAGTACCCGTTATAAGAAAATAGTGTCAAACAATCTATTTTTTTTTTTTTTTTTGTGAGGGTCAGCTTTAATGCCGCTGTGGGTGCTCCGGGCTGGTGCCCGAGGCCTCGGCCCACACACGGGGGGCTTGGCAGATTGTCTCATGGTAGACAAGTCACATCATGGCCTCCGGCTCTGCTGTCCTGATCTTGGGATGATGGGTTGGGGGAAGTCAGCCGGGGCTCCCTGGGCCTCCCTGACGTCTGTTCTCGGCACCGGAGCCCCTGCTGATGGGAGGAGTGAGAGTCCTGACACACAGGCCCGAGAGGCTGCAAAGTGCGCTGTCCTGTCTCCGTCTGTCTGTGGCGTCTGGAGGCAGGTTCAGGGGCTGCTCACAGCCAGGACCCCAGTGAAACAATCTATTTTAAATATTATCACTCTTCCCATCTCCACAAAACTTGCAAATACACACACAGTTCTTAGCTATCATACCTGTATGGGACACCACCTGTAGGACTCTAAAAGATAATCAGTTACTTACCTTCTGCGATCTCTCTGAATTTTGCTTCAGCATCTGGGCTCTTATTTTTGTCAGGATGGTATTTCATGGCCAGCTTATGAAAGGCCTTCTTGATTTGGCGTTCTGATGCGGATTCTGGCACACCTAAGATATCATAGTAACTTTTGGAAGCCAGAATTAATTCTGTTATCATTAAGATGCAGATTGCAAGGACAAAAACTGACCGGGGAGTAGCCATCTCTAATATCCTAAAAGAGAAACAAAAAAAAAAAAAATTTATCCATGGAGCTAGTCTTACAATTTTCCTAATTTTAAGAAACAAAATCTGGTGACTCTAAGGACTATTTACTTAATGCACTATCAAAATATTAGACATATGTTATCAGTTAACATGTTATTTCATTTACTTAACTTTGTTCAATTCGGCTTGAACAAAGTTCAACCTTAACCTTGACAGAAAACTGTAGTCAAGCAAAGAGAAAAAATTCATCTTGGCTTTGCCTTTCACACTAATACTCTGGCCATCATCAGAGTAAACACAGAAATTTTCAACAGCTAATTTTTACCAGATAACATTAAAAATTCACCTTAAGGAAGCATTGCACAAAATCCTATTTCTTTTTCAAGAATCTTTTGGTCTTGTTTTCAAGAATTAACATTCTTACCAGTTAAGAAAATATCTTTAGAAAACAGCCCAGTGTGTCTCTAATAGCACTCTTCTTTTCCTTGTTGTGTGCCTTGGAATCAGAACCAACTCATTTTCAGAGGAGACTGCCCATTTTGCTCCAGTGGAGCAGCTACGTGGATTTGAACCACTTCCCTTAGGGGTTGGAAGCACAACTCCATAGCCACTAGGCCACAGGAGCTCCCGTAGAAAGATCCCTTAGATATCAACTTGCATGTTTCAGCAAAGAATGTCACGAATTTCAACGCTGACAAAGCAACACAACATAATTATTATGTATATATTTAAAAAAGTCTATCTTACTATGAGAGCTCTGGTAGCTAAGTGAATATATATAGTGGTAAGGAAGTGCGCTGCCAACACAAAGGTAAGTGGTTCGAAAGCACCAGCAGCTCATTGGGAGAAGGCTGGGAAATCTCCTGCCATACAATTTATAGCTTCTGGGAACCCACTAGAGGGTCAGTAACGACAATACACAACCATCACCAACATATATTTCACAAAGAACCACTAGTAGAGGATTTCTTTTTAAAATTCACATAATTAAGAGAAGGCAAAAGATTTTCTCCAAAAGTTCACCGGGGGGAGGGAAGGCTCTGATCGTTTTCACGTCAAAAAAATTAATTTATCTTTAAACTTCTCCATAGTTATTAAAATGTCTCTCGGACTTTAAATAAAGTCTTAAGAATCCAACAACAGTGACTTGACAATAAAGATATCACGCCTTGCGGCTGGAAATGGAGAGATCCAGGTTGTTTTTGTTTCTGAATGCTGTGGCGGGGGGAGTACTTAATAACCGATGATGACATTATGGCCCGGCTGACGAAAAGACACGAAGCTCTGCAGAAACTGCCTGCCTCCCTCCCCTGTGGCCCGGGAAGGGCGTAATTGGCAGGTGGATGACTTCTTGCCGGGAGTTACTCATAGTCACGGGTGCCGGGGACCTGCCTGCGGGCGCCGAGATCATAGCAGCGCGGGGCCGCTCCCGGTGCAGGTCTAAGGCTGCCCGGGGCGCACCCTCCGGAGGCTTCACCGATGCTACCCCACTGCTCCCCAGGGGACTTCCATTTTGCCGACTTCTCACCCCCAAGTCCCACCCGGAGGCCCTTCGTTCGCGGGCGCCCCAGGCTTGGCCCGTCCAACCATCCCCCGCAGGCGCCGAGCTCGCCCTTCCAGGCCCGGGGCCATCCCTCACTGACCCCGGGGAAAGCCAGTGGCAACCCCCCAAGCCTTAGTCTGGGACTCGCTCGTCTTCTTGTCCCTAAGGCTCTTTGACAAGAGCGCCAACAAACCCGAAGCCTTCCCGGCGCGTGAGTCCGATGCCAACCTGCCCAACAAGACCAGGCAGCCAGAGCCGCGGGAACGCTGCAAAGCCGTCCCCGGCCTCGTTCCTCACCTGGCGGCTGTCGCTTGCTGCTGCTCCACCCACCAGCAGTGCTGGCGGGGCTGACGATGCGCGGCTGCTCGGTTCTGGCCCCTCACGCAGGCCTCTGCGGCCTCTGGCAGCCGTCGGAGCCCCCAATGCCGCCCGCACAGCGACCTCGCGCTCCTCCTGCCGCCACTGCCGCCGCGTCTTCCCAGCCCGCTCCCTACTGGCGGGCGTCCGCTGTTGATGCCGCCACCAAGAGAGAAGAGCTACACGAAACGCTTCCCCATTGGCTGCTCCTTCCCACCTGACCTTGAGGCCCTACGCGCACGTGGAAAACTGTTGTTGCCGCTCCGCCCATGCGTCACTTCCGGCCCGGCCCCGGAATGGGCAGTACCACGACGAGTGGAGGCGGAAGTGCGTAGAGGGTTGCGACGTCTTGACTGGCAGCGGTTCTCGGCGCGCAGGCGCAGTTTTGCGGACTCCGGAGTGGGCGGTTATTACGGCCCTCGGAGGCGGAAGTGAGTCGGGGGATGCGACATTTTTTCTTTTCGGTGGTTCTCGGTGCGCAGGCGCAGTTTTGCCGGCGGCCTGGGGCTCCTGTCCCCCTTTAGCGAGAAGGGCTGGTCTTGGGCACTGTAAGTTGGTGTTCCCCAGAGCGTCACTGTCGCGATGCCCCGCTATTGCGCAGCGATTTGCTGTAAGAACCGGAGGGGACGGAATAATAAAGACCGGAAGCTGAGTTTTTATCCGTAAGTTGTCTCTGGAACAGAGACGTCATTCTTGCTTGCGTTGCTGCACTCCCACAGCATTGGACAAGGGTTTGATTCTATCCTGTTGTTGTGTGCCATCGAGTCACCTGCACCCCATAGCGACCCTATATGCACAGCAGCTATGAAGCCTGCGCTGTCCTGAGCCAGTCTTAACCCCCTTTGCCCCAGTTACCGTGTCAGTCCATCTCATCTGGGATCTAGTCCCTTTATAATTAAAAGTCCTCATCTCGCAGGGCGTGGTCGGTCACTGCGAGGGTGGGGAGATGAGAAGGTCAGGGTACCTGGAAATGTCTCTCCTGAGCTAGGATGCCTTGCTGGTGACGAGGCATCAGGAATTGTTTGTTTATTGAGCACGCAGATGAAACTGCACTTTTGCACGCTTTCCGTGATATTCACAGTGCTTCCCAACCCCACTTGACCTTAATTTCTTTAACAACAGTACCTACCGCCTAAGTGTCATCGAACCTGCAAAGTACAGGCAAGAAGTTATTTTACAATCCCTGTGAATCAGGTTGCATTTTGTTGTTAGTTGCTATGGAGTCATTTCCGACCGAACTGCTTAGAAAGGTTTTCAGGGCTTTGACCTGAACTAAATCACCAGGCCTGTCTTCCAAGAAGCTCCTGAGTGGGTATTGTTTTTATTTAAGCCCATGTTTCTCTGGAGGCTCAGAAACAAACCTTGAAAGCTTAACAGGAAAGTTAAGTGCCTTTCTGAATTATTAGTGCCAAGAAATATTCCTCGAAAACTCCAGAAGTACCTGTGTTTCATTCAGAAGAATAGAGAGGTTCTAAAGCCGGATTTAGCGGGTTCAAATCCTTGGACCGCTATCTCTATAGATAAATGACCCTGGCTAAATTATTTAAACTCTCGGTTCTCACATGTAGCATCTGTGAAATCAAGTTATTGCTTTTCTGTGCAGTCCAGTCTCCGATTCAGTGTGACCCTATATGACAGAATAGAATGCCCGTAGGATTTTACCCAGCGTGTAAGATAAAGTAACAAAGCAGCAGCAGCAAAACATTAAATATGTCATATATACAGAGAGTATGAAGCAACATATTTAGAGTAAAATACAGAATATATCTCCTTTTCTGTAGACCTTACTCCATTTGTCTTTGAATTTTCACCATAGCTATATTTTAACATCCATTTTACTTTAAAATTCAAACTCTCTATTCACTGATTAAATCAGTTGCATTCAATTGCAAAGTAATAATTTTAAGTTGTTCATGCTACTGGGAAATATTTCCAGGTTTATCTCTCTTGAAGTCTGTCCACAAGATGCAGAAGAGACACTGGAAAGGGAAGAGAGAGGGAGCCCTTTCACCAATTAGTTGAGAAACGTTCCTGTATTAATTAATGCCTCTGGCTCAGATGGTTTATGTTACGGACCACTGAGTTGGAACCCACCCAAAGCTCACTCTCCAGCAGGTTTTCAGAGACAGTAAATCACAAGGGAGGAAACTGACCATCTCTCTCCCATAAGGCAGCAGGTGGATTTGAACCACATGCCATTGGAATGGCAGCACAGTTCGTTATCACTAGGTTACTAGAGCTACCCCAGATGGTAAAGCACAATCACATTGAATTCCACATTAGAGCTCAGATTTCAGAATTATTTGGATTTTCAGTGGGTGTGGACGTAATCCCATACTAAACATCTTTAATCCTCGTGCGTCTCACAGTTACTGATTTTAAGAAGAAATTTTAAAAAAATAAAACATAGTGCCAGATGGAGTTTTCATTCTAAATATGAATGTTAAAAGGTTGGGTTAATTACGTTGATAGTTTTTTACATCCATATGTGATTCACAAAATGTTGTTATTAGGAACCCTTGAGTCGCATGTGCTTCTAGCAACCCTAGGTACAACAGCCCTGAAACCTACTCTGTCCTTTGCCAGCTTTACTGTCTCCAACACACTATTCTCATTACCCCAGTCACTGAAACAGTATCTCATCGATGGTCTCCCTCTCTTTCTCCATACCTCCACCCTTCCAAGCATGATGTGCCTGTCCAAGGACTGATCCCTCCTTACAACATGCCTAAAGTATGTCAGACAAAGCCTCAGGACCCTTGCCTCTAAGGAACAGGCTGACTTCACCCTTTCTAGGACGAAGCTGTTTATTCTGGCAGTCCATGGTATATTCAACATTCTTCTCCAGCACCACAGCTTAAAGGCATCAATTCTCTATCTCTCATCCCTAGTCATTGTCCAGCTCTCTGATGCATAGCAAGCAATTGCAAAGACCATGGCCTGTATCAGGCACACCTTACTCTCCAGACTGATGTCGTTGCTTTTCAGTACTCTGGAGAGGTCCTGACAGCTGACTTTCCTAATGCAATTTATCTCTTGATTTCCTGGCTGATGGTACCAAGAGCATAAATTGTGGAACCAAGCAAACAAAAGCTGTTAACAATCTCAGTCTCTTCATCATCCATCATGATGCCGCCAGTTAGCCCAGTGGTGAGAATCTTTGTTTTCTTGATATTGAGCTTCCATCCATATTGAAGGCTGCAGTCCTTGATCTTCTGCAGTAAGCAAAAAGAAAAAATATTTTTCTTTTCCTAGCAAACTTCAACTGAATTCTCTCATGCTAGCAATATAATGGGAGTACTAGTAGCCTAGTGAATATGGAGTTGCCTTGCCAACCAAAGGCCTGCGGTTCAAATCCTTCAAGTATAATGCAGGAGAAAAACGAGCAGTCTTCTGTGTGATTTACAGCCTCTGAAAACTCACTGGAGGGAGCTGTGAGTCAGTTCCTACTTGGAGGCATTGAGAGAGAGATAACATTATAACAATCAAGAATGTAAATATCTGTGAACTTAAGAATTTCATAAATATTTACGTATTTAAAAAATCGTACCTCCTGCCATTGGTTAAGTAAGCAAAATAAATACTGACTCCAGACAACCCTTCGTTGACTTTCCAAGGCTGTAAAGAATTTGGCCTTTAAATTACTTTTTCTGGTTCTTCTTGTCATCTTATAAGTTAGGTTATTGATACGTACAAGGTAAAAAATTTCAAATGATACATGAGTATTATATCTTTGGTGAAAACTTCCAAAGTTCCAATTCTTCCGTATAAAAACTTAAATGAAAGGTACTTCCAACAAAAATATCTAGACTCTTCCCATAGCGTTGTTTGTTGTTGTTATGTGCCATCGAGTTGTCTGCAACTCATAACGACCCAATGTACAATAGTCCTAAACCCTGCTCTATCCTGTGCCAATCTTGCTGTCTCTGACACACCTACACCCATTACCCCAGTCACTGAATCAATCTATCTTGTCTAGGGTCTTCCTCTCCTGCACTGTCCCTCCACCCTCCTAAGTATGACATCTCTCTCCAAGGACTGGTCCCACCTTGCAACATGTCCAGAGTATGTCAGACAAAGCTTCAGAGTCCTTGCCTCCAAGGAGCAGCCTGGTTTAACTCTATCCAGGACAAACCTATTTGTTCTCTTAGCAATCCGTGCTACATTCATCACTCTTTTCCAACACCACAGCTCAAAGGTATCAATTCTTCTATCATCCCTAGTCATTGTCCAGCTCTCTGATGCATACCAAGTGATTGCAAAGACCATGGCCTGTATTAGGTGCACCTTAGTCTCAAGACTGACATCATTGCTCTTCACTACTTTGGAAAGATCTCTAAAAGCCAACTTTCCCAACACAATACGTCTTAATTTCCTGGCTGCTGGTGTAAAGTTATTAAAATTTGGAAGCGTCATGCTACTGAAAAATATAAATTAAGCAGTTGAGATGAGTGGTAAATGTAATCTTTTTTTTTAAGCACATACTCACTCATTGCCATTGAGTCAGAACCAGATCATAGCTAATCCTCCAGCGTGTTTTCAGAGGTTAAAATCTTACAGAAAAAGATTGCCCATCTTTCACCCAGATTGCAGTTGGTAGATTGGAACTGCTGGACATGGGTTGGTAGCACAACTCCTTACCCATTAGGCCACCAGAGCTCTCTTTCTTTTGTGTAAGAACCTATCTTGCCACTATTTATGTGGTATATGTCTTAGACTATGTTCTTTGAAAAATCATCACATGAAGTAGTCTGTTGTTAATACTCTTGAACCCAAACCTGAAGTTACATGGTTTGAATCCACCAGGCACTCTGCAGGAGAAAGGTGAGTAATCTCCTCTTGTGTCATTTATTGCCTCTGAAAGTCCGATAGAGTCATAAACCTATGAGTCAGTTTCCAACTCATTGATACACAGCAACATTTGAGTAGTAGGAAGCTTTGGTGGTGTACTCCACTGGAAGTTGTGCTGCTGCCTCTGGCAGTTCTGACGCACCAGGCTCCACAGAGGAAGGTGAAAAGTCTCCTCCCATCTGATTTACAGCCTCTGAAAACCTGCTGAGGAGTCAGCTTTGAGTTGGTTCCAACTTGAAATCAGAGTGTATTATTAGACTCGTAGGAAAGCTTTTTATCAGATTAACTACAAGTAATCCAGTTATATTTAGAAAACCCATTGTATGATGTAGCCGAGTGAGGATGGCCCAGGACGAGGCAGTTTTGGACTATTATTTATAGGGTTGCTGGAAATAGGAACCAAGTTGACAGATCTAACAACAAGGTAGAGCCAACTGTAAATCTAAGTAATTGTTTGCACAGGAACAGAATAAAAGGATCTGTCCGGGAGCTCTGGTGGCCTAGTGGCAAGGAGCTGCAACTACAATCCCAGAGGCACACAGTTCGAATCCACCAGATGCTCTGCGGGGAAAAGGAGGAACAATCTCCTCCTGTACCAGTCAGATCTGATTTGACGGTACACTCACACAAAAATTTTTTTAAAAAAATAAATAAATAAAAGGATCTGTCTTACCTTTTTACCTTTTACCGCCTCTGGTGGACTCGAACCGTGTTTCTCTGGGATTGCAGTGCAGCTTCTTGCCACTAGGCCGCCAGAGCTCCCCTTGTCTTACCTTTTTAAAAAAAAAATATTTTCTATTATGCAAGTCTCTTAGGATGTTTCTGCTGTTGTATGTACCATCAAATCAGAAACAACTCATGACTGACCCTCCAGCATGTTTTAGAAGCAGTTAAACCCAGGGGAGGATATTGTCAGTCTTTCTTCCACAAAGCCACTAGTGGATTCAAACCACACACCTTTGGGTTGCCAGCACAACTCTACCACTCAGCCATCACAAGTACTTTTAGAACTTCGCAGTTCCCATTGGTTATAGACACTCAGAACTGTGGAACTAAATTCACCATAGTAGAATTGAAGCTAATGCCATTAAATCAAAAGAAATACTGATAGCTTTATAAAATCTCACTTTGATTCTCAGTAAAACCACATTTAAAATGCTCAAAAAATTCAAACTCATTGCCACCAAGTTGCTTCCAACTCTAGTGACCCTCCATTGGTTTTCTGAGGCTGTAAATCACAATAGGTGTTGACTGCCTATTTTTCTTCTGGAGCTACTAAGAGATTTGAACTACCAGAGAAGTGATGCATTTGATTAGTGTACTATGCCACTAAGGTTCTTGTTTAAATTAGGTGTACCTATTTCAGATTTTGTTGTCTGTATATCAGAGGGTGTGAAAAGAGCAAAGGATATGTGGGATGGCCATATCTGACCTTTACCAACTTCACAAAGGGGAAATGTCTCTGTCAACAACATCAACACTAAACCAGTTCCCATGAAATCATGCGTGTTCCCTATACTCCCTTTCTGCAAATCCCAGCACCAATCTCACTGCTTTACCAAATTCAGTGCAATAGCTCATAGACTGCACAGAACTGGATGGGGGAAGGCAAAAGATTATAATCTAGAATAGTAGCAGAATACAGTCAGGACCGTATTCAGAATGTGCTTGCATGGGCCTCAGACTTGAGCCTCAAGACTTTAGGCCATTGTTACAGGCCTCATTCCTGCCTAGTATAGCTCTCCCAACCCCCAAGTGGTCCAGCAAACTTGGGCAAAGGCTCTGAGCTCTGGTTCCATGGGGGAGTAGCAGCTGCAAGGTCAACACCACCTTATGTTGGATCTCTGGTTCTCCACTGTGGCCGCTGCTCCCATAGACCCTAGGCTGACTGCTATAAGAATTTCTGGCCCCCAAGGACACATTCAGTTCTCTTACTTCTTTGCTGATAGTGAGGTTTCTCCTATTCTGTTACTAGATCTACTTATTTTAAAGGAAAGACTAGTCAGTCCCCTTGTAGATTGGTGAGACTAGACAATCCCATTGTGGCTAGGCTAACACACCCTGTTTGCATATTCCCATCCACGTGGCAAAGTCAATTAATGGATAGACAAGCCATTTTAGACAATAAACTCCTTAACACCATGGAGGAAAGGAGACATGTGTTTCATGCACATACAGTTTGGAAATTATTCTAACATGTAAATGTTTGCATAAACAGGAGTCTAAAGCTAAAGACTGTTGTTTTGAGTTATAGATAAACCACCTGGTATATGATAGTAGTATGAAATACATTTGAATAGTTTATTTAAATCATTCCTGGTTGTAGGAAAAGTGTGCAACAAAAGTAAATAGAACCTAAATCAACATAAAAATAAGAATAGAATTTATCCTCTGTACAAATGTCTCTTCAGTCTCAGTCTTACTGCAGAGAGATCATTGTCATAAAGATTCTGATTTATTCTAATAATTGTGCCTTAGCTTTTGGTTCACTTAGGCACAGGTGGCCTAGAAAAAATAGGTCTAAATTTTGGCAAGCCTGTAAAGATATAACAAAGTTTTTCCTTTTTATTTTTTTCTTTCATAATTTTAGGTTTCCTCTGCATGACAAAGAAAGACTTGGAAAATGGCTAAAGAATATGAAACGAGATTCGTGGGTTCCTAGTAAATACCAGTTCCTGTGTAGTGACCACTTTACTCCTGACTCTCTTGACATCAGATGGGGTATTCGGTATTTGAAACAAACTGCAATTCCAACAATATTCTCTGTGCCTGAAGACGATCAGGTATTAGAGGCAGAGTGGTAAGAATTGATGTTGCCCAGAGAAACATTAGGTGGAGAAGGGTGAGGTGGGAAAGCAAATACTTGAAGGGAAAAACCAATTTGTATTTTTAAATACAAATGTGTTTCATTTTAAAGTTTAATGAAGCATATCTTAGAAGAAGTAAAATGTAATACATTAGTATATATGTTACATATATGTAACATATATAAGTAAATGAGGATTTTTTTCATGGTCATTTAAATGCTCTAGAGCTTTTCCTTCATGTATTAAATATACTGGGTTCTATTTTAAAAATATCTTAAGGTATGATTGATTTGTTAGATACTTAGAACATTTGCTTTTAAGGTGAATAAACTTGCTTGGCCAATACTCCATTTGAAGTTAAGTAATCAGTATTAATTAATAAGAGAAGAAACCTAGAAAAAGATACATATTTAAGAATTTGAAATATTATTTTCTAGGGAAAAGACCCTTCTCAAAAAAAGTCTCAGAAGACAAAATTAGAGGATAAAAATGAAGTATGGCTAAAAGCCAAAGCAGAAGAGTCATTTGTATCAAATGAGTCAAAGAAAACTTTTGTCAACACAAATGTGCTGTCTGGATGTCCAGAATTACCAGATTCATCTGATTTGATGAAGCTACCAGCTCTTAAAATGGAGAGTATACAAAATAATATGCTAACTCTTAAAATGATTAAAAAAGATATTGAGGAACCAGAAACCACTTTGGAAACATCAGTCAACCAAGATACAGGTACTAGTTTTCATACCTATTTTGAGAATATACAATCTATACCTATTACTATGACAACTTCAGATTCAGAAAATATTCAGCACTCTTTGGATACCCAAGAAGTGTTTGAAATAACTACTAGTCATATTACTAATCCAAATTTTACAAATAATTCTGTGGAAATTAAGTCAGAGAATCCAGTCTTATTTAACACCATCACTCAGACAGTGAAAGAATTAAATGCAAATAAGGAATCTGTTGTTGCCATTTTTGTACCCAATGAAAATTCTAGATCTCCAGTTAATTCCTTTATGCCTGCACAACAGAAAACTGTGGCAGTGGGGGACACAGGCTCTGAAGTATCCTTATATAAGGATGTTGATTATGGAACAGAAGTTTTACAGATTGACCATTCTTATTGCAGACAAGACATAAATAAGGAACATCTTTGGCAGAAAGTTTCTAAGCTTCATTCAAAGATCACTCTTCTGGAATTGCAAGAGCAACAGACTTTAGGGAGATTAAAGTCTTTGGAAACATTAATAAAGCAGCTAAAACAAGAAAACTGGCTATCTGAAGAAAATGTCAAGATTATTGAAGACCATTTCACAACATATGAGGTTACTATGTTATAAAAAAAAATTTTCAAGTAAAACTTTTTTTTTCAGCCAAACTAAATTCTATGAAAAGAAAACTTTTTCCTGAATAAATTTCTCATCTTAAACTCTGAAAGTCACCAATGTTTTAGTCAGTGACACATTTGGTTGCTGTGATGCTCATTTTTGAGGATAGAGAATTACTTGTTCAGAAAAAGTTTTGGTACATGGCTATTACCCAAATTGAAGTTAAAACATAGTTAATAATGAAATTAAGTCATTAAATGAGAAAATACTCTAATGTGGTAAAAAATCAGAATAAAAAAAGTCCAATTTGGGAATCAGTCCAGTTTTACTATTAGTAAACAACTTATTATTTATTTATTAAGCTTGAGCTTCAAGTCCCTAGTAGCAAAGTAATTACAGTACTAGATCTCTCTGATACAATTTGTTTCTTTATAGCTCCTTTTTTTTTTTTAATAAGAACACCTTAACAAGGGGAGCTCTGGTGGCCTAGTGGTAAGGAGCTGCAACTACAATCCCAGGGGCACACAGTTCGAATCCAGCAGATGCTCTGCCGGGAAAGGAGGGACAGTCTCCTCCTGTACCAGTCAGATCTGATTTGATGGTACACTCACACAAATATAATAAAATAAATTTTAAAAAAACCAAAACACCTAACAGAAGAATTTTTCTGCATAGGATTGTCTGTATTTCATAATGCAAGAAGTCGACCGTAGTGTTGCACTGTCAAGTCGGAACTGGCCCATAACTGACCCTCGAGCAGGTTTTCAGAGGCAGTAAATTGCACAGGAGGAGATGACTCATCGGTCTCCCACTGAGCAGCTTCTGGATTCAAACCGCATACCTTTGCACTAGCAGTACAATATTGCTTATTATTGGAAAATCCTCAACAGTTACCGAATTCTGTGCTATTTCGCTTTTTTTTGGCTTCAGTTTCACATCTATAATGTAAAAGGTAATATTCTTTTAGTAGGTTTAAAAATAAAGAACCAACTACACACAGTTCTTAGAAGTATTTTACGCTTTTAAGACCTTTTCAATACCTTATTTATGATTGACCATCTTAATGCATAATCATATAAACTTTTTAACATCCTGCATTTATAAAGTTTACAAATTTTTTTTAAAAAAGATGAAATTGAGGTTAAGTGTATTTTAGAAGTCATTTTTCTTTTAAACTCTTTAATTGGTATAGCTTTTCAAAATATGTGCCTGTGTCATTTTGAAAGTGAGATAGTAAAACTTGAAACAGTTCATTATTAGCATTCATTCAGCATATTTTGCTGAAATTATAGCTATGTGATAAAGACCTTAGGGAGACAAGTAGGAAACAAAAATGATGAAAATGTAAATTAAAAAATGTGATTAAAAATATATTCCACAAGAATTTAAGAAAAAAATATATATAGAAGTAAAGACTTAGTATGTAATATAAATTTGAAAGTCATGTGTTCCTTTAAAACAGTCGGTAGAATGAAGTGTATTATTAAAGCATAGCTTATGGTGTTAGACAAATTCCTACCAGTCTCATCTGTAAAATACAAGAAATTATTTTCTGTATTGTCTGATGAATTTGAGAATTTTATAAAGGAAAATGTTTTTGAGCCTGGAAAATGAAAATGCTGGCTCTGAATGCAGATTGTATATTGTTTTATAAATGCATTGTGATCATTTTTACCCAGATACCGCTTATTCAGCCTTGTAAAATAATTGTTAGTGTGCATTGACTAATTATCCAGTAGAGAGATCTTTATTGGATAATCATGAAAAGGAAAATTTACTAGAATTTTAAAAAATAAGTTAGATGCAGAGATTTAGTAGAGTTAACATATTTTTCGATATCATCATGCTGCACTTTGCTGATTCTGGTAATTAAATTACACAGATGAAAAAAACTTGTGAATCAGAATAATGATAGCTAGTTTCAACTCAGTTTTAAGCAGTGTCTTCATAGTATTTTATTTACTTGGAGTTAGAGTTTACTCAGGAATAATTTATATGTTTGGTTATAGTTCATGAAACTAAATACATTTTCAGTATTTAAGCTATTTTCCTGGCATGTCTCTGTTCAATGAAGAATATATCCTCAGCCTACCCCAGTTAACCTTGAATTATTTATGGGGTTCAGATCAACAATACTGCTCTCTAGACTGTTTAGGACCTTCCTAGCTAATCTTGCCCATACTGTATTTCTAATCTTTCATCTCTATGGCCCTAGGCCCTGCTGTTAGCTTTTGACCTCAGCTACAGGTCTAAATCACTGTGTCACCTACCCACCCACCTAATTCTCTAGTGGAGAAATCTGTGATTATCCTCTACCTACAGAACTAAGACTTGATGCCAATGTATATACGATCCTCTCTGATTCTGTCTTGTCCTTAGCCACACTGAACCTTGTAGTGTTTCCTGAGCTTAACAGATAGGCTCTCTCAGTGTCTCCTTTTTTTCTCTCCTAAACTCCTCAGCCTGCCAAAAGTGTATTACAGCTTTAAAACCTAGAGATTCTGCCTTTTTACAATGTCATCTATTATTTTTCCTCCTCCTTTCAGTCAGAAATTTTTCCTCCCTAATTCCTCAAGAGATTTTTTTAATATAATATAAAAACATTTACTTAATACTTTCTTTTATAGTATAAAAATATCTGTGGCTGTCTCTCTAAATTGTTAATGTTTTAACATTTTGTTTCTTTGACACTAATTTGACACTCAATATTTGGATGGACAGTCTAAACTTTCATATTTAGCCTTTCTTGGTTCTTACCATTTTCTTGGGGGGAGGGTTGTTAATGTAAAAAATGGCAAGAACAGTAATAGAGATCCTGTGTAATCTTTGAAACATTCCCTGTTTCTACTGGACACTGTACAACTGAAAATTACTCTGTTGGATGCTATCTTGTGCTTTTATCCCCACTCCAGACTTTATTCTCTATATACTCAAAGAGAAGTCCAAGAAAACTTACCTTTATGTCTATAGATCAGAGAGATATTAACTAAGTCAAATGTAGAGAAATTTACATAAGTAATGTGTGGGATTAAACATCAAATATTTGTCCCATAGAAGAATTTATTTACTTATTTTTTATGTTGGAAAAAATGTATGAAGACTTGGAATATTATATGTGTGATTTATGCTTTTGTTTTCAACTGAATTGTATGGCACTCCCACTTTGGTATTCATATACATACATACTTTTTTGCTTACCAAATGATGCTGTTTGTGTTTTGTGGGTTGTTAAAATACTCACTGGGGGGAAAGTCCAGGATGAAAAAGAGGACAAGAAAAAAAGAATTCTTAAGTCACTTGTTATGTTTCTGAGATCTAGACAGTGACTAAGGATGGTAAAAGAAGAACTGATGCCTTTGAACTGTAGTATTGGATAAAAATGCTAAAGATCTCATAGATTGCCCAAAGAACAAACAGCATCATTGAGAAAGGAGAAGAGCATTGTGGACACCTGATTGAGGCCCGTAAGGAGTGCATAAGAGCCCGGGGATTTAAGATATGAAATGATGCTGTACTTTGAAGAAATAATTCCAGAAGGATGAAGAAGATTAAAGAACATTGATAATTCATTAATGTCTTGATAAATGTAATAAATATTTATAATTTATTAAAAAATATATATCCCTGGGGAGGGGGGAAGGAATTCTGTCAAGGAAGCACTTATGTCGTTTTAATCCCCATGGCACTTGGGAAACATGCCACTCCCTTCACAAGAGATGGAGTTTCTTTCTTTCCCTTCTTGAATCATGTAACGTAACTCATTTGTTGCTTTTTGACATTAATAAAAGTGCAGCAACTGTGGAGGCAGTGGCATCTGATCTTCACTGACTCCACTAGAGGAGCAATCACTCTCTGTAAATCCACAGCATGAGCCCAGCTTGTCTTAGGGCACAGAGGCCTCCCTGCTCCCTCTATCACTCCGACACCAACTCTCCACAGGCTGGAGCTGTGCGGCTACTCAGTCCACTAATCCTTTCAAAGGGCACTAAGAACTCTCTGGCATTATTCAGGACTAGGTTAGAAACAGGATTGAAGTCTTCAGCTGGGAGAGCTGCTCAGGTGTGCGCAGGCCTTCTGGCCTTAAGGTTCTGGAACAGTCACACAGCTTTTTTCTGGTCCTATCAGGTGATCTCTCCCTAACCCAGTGACCCCCAATAAAACAAGGGGCTGGTGGTCCCTGCTTCTCTGCTCTCTGCTGAGGCTGCTGTACTTGGTCTGCAGGGTGCAGGAATCTGATCCAACAGGACATAATGCATTCTCTGCTTCATGATAGGAGTGAGATTCCTGTTATGTGCCTCTTAACCTACTCAATTTAAGCATAGCAGGATTGCAGAACTGACCAGTGCCTTCAATAGTAGTCTCTACACCCTCTTTGCATATGCCACAAAAAGCAGCATTTACTTCATTCACAGTAATAGCATTTTCCTGGCCAGTCATCTGGTGAAAGCCAGAGCTAACGACTAGAAAAGCTGTTCTACACAATCTGCTGCCCTACAGACACTGTCAGTTACAAACCCAATCCTCAGTTGACCTAGCAGCGTCTACTTTTCCCCTCTGAAACATCGGAAAGCCCTCAGAAATCAAAGGGCATGTAAGAAGTGTGCTTATCCTTTGATAATGCTGGAAAAGCATGTTGTATACTGTTGGGTCAGACCTGACTCATAGCTGACACTCCAGCAGGTTTTCAACTGCTGCAAGCCTTACAGGAGGGAACTGCCCATCTTCCTCTCCTGGGGCATTTGGTGGATGTGAATTGCATTCTTTTCTGTTATCAGTGCAGTTTTCTGAGGAATAGCACCTCTTAGCAACATTCCTGAAGTATGTTAGACAAGGCTTTATCATCCTTGCCTCCAAGAAGCACTCTGGCTGCACTTTCTCCAAGACATATTGAATCTATTTCCAATCCATGGATGAATTCACTCTTCTCCAACACTGCAGTTCAAGGCATCAATTTTCTTATTCATTGTCCAGCTCTCAGATGCAGAGCGATTGGAAGACCATTGCTTGAATCA